TCACAGATAGTTGTCCTGTCTTGTTTCAGGTATAAATCTGGAACTTGTTATTTTGTTGGTCGTAGAGATAGTTGCCCTGGCTTGTTTCAGGAATTAATCTCTAACCTTAGAAAAATAAAGATAGTTTCCCTGTCCTGTTTCGGGAGTTAATATTTAATCTTCTTATGTAGATAGTTGTCTTGTCTTGTTTTAGGTATTAATCTACAATCAGTTGTTCACACAAAGTTGTCCTATATTGTTTCAGTTATTAATCTGGAACTTTTTTTGGGTCGTAGAGATAGTTTAGCTAGCTTGTTTCATGAATTAATCTTTAACCTTAAAGAAAGAAAGATAGTTTTCCCGTCCTGTTTCGGGAGTTAATCTACAATCTGCTCATGAAGATAGTTGTCTTGTCTTGTTTCAGGTATTAATCTATAATCAGTTGTTCACAGAAGTTCTCCTGTCTTGTTTCAACTATTAATCTGGAACTTGTTTATTTGTTGGTCGTATAGATAGTTGCCCTGGCTTGTTTCAGGATTTAATCACTGACCTTAGAGAAAGAAAGATAGTTTCCCTATCTTGTTTCGAGAGTTAATTTTCAATCTGCTCAAGTAGATAGTTGTCTTGTCATGTTTCAGGTATTAATATACAATCATTTGTTCACAGATAGTTGTACTGTCTTGTTTTAGGTATTAATCTGGAACTTGTTATTTTGTTGGTTGTAGAGATAGTTTCCCTGGCTTATTTCAAGAATTAATCTCTAACCTTAGAAAAAGAAAGATAGATTCTCCGTCCTATTTCTGGAGTTAATCTTCAATCTTCTTATGTAGATAGTTATCCTGTCTTGTTTCAGGTATTAATCTACAATTAGTTGCTCACACATAGTTGTCCTATCTCGTTTTAGGTATTAATCTGGAACTTTTTTTTGGTCGTAGATATAGTTTCCCAGGCTTGTTTCAGGAATTAATCTTTGACCTTAGAGAAAGAAAGATAGTTTCCCCGTCCTGTTTCCGGAGTTAATCTTCAATCTGCTCATGAAGATGGTTGTCCTGTCTTGTTTCAGGTATTAATGTATAATTTGTTGTTCACAGATGGTTGTCCTGTCTTGTTTCAAGTATTAATCTGGAACTTGTTTTTTTGTTGGTCGTAGAGATATTTGCCCTGGCTTGTTTCAGGAACTAATCTCTGAACTTAGAGAAAGAAAGATAGTTTCCCTATCCTATTTCGGGAGTTAATCTTCAATTTGCTCATGTAGATAGTTGTCCTATCTTGTTTCAGGTATTAATCTACAATAAGTTGTTCACAGATAGTTGTCCTATCTTGTTTCAGATATTAATCTGAAACATGTTTTTTTGTTGGTGATAGAGATAGTTGCCCTGGTTTGTTTCAGGAATGAATCTCTGACCTTAGACAAAGAAAGATAGTTTCCACGTCCTGTTTCGGGAGTTAATCTTAAATATGCTCATGTAGATAGTTGTCTTGACATGTTTCAGGTATTAATGTACAATTAGTTGTTCCCAGATAGTTGTCCTATCTTGTTTCAGGTATTAAACTGGAAATTTTTTTGGTTGGTCGTATAGATAGTTTCCCTGGCTTGTTTCAGGATTTAATCTCTGACCTTAGATAAAGAAAGTTAGTTTCCATGTCCTGTTTCGAGAGTTAATCTTCAATAAGCTCAAGTAGATAGTTGTCGTGTCTTGTTTCAGGTATTAATCTACAATTAGTTGTTCACAAATAGTTGTCCTGTCTTGTTTCAGGTATAAATCTGGAACTTGTTATTTTGTTGGTCGTAGAGATAGTTGCCCTGGCTTGTTTCAGGAATTAATCTCTAACCTTAGAAAAATAAAGATAGTTTCCCTGTCCTGTTTCGGGAGTTAATATTTAATCTTCTTATGTAGATAGTTGTCTTGTCTTGTTTCAGGTATTAATCTACAATCAGTTGTTCACACAAAGTTGTCCTATATTGTTTCAGTTATTAATCTGGAACTTTTTTTGGGTCGTAGAGATAGTTTAGCTGGCTTGTTTCATGAATTAATCTTTAACCTTAAAGAAAGAAAGATAGTTTTCCCGTCCTGTTTCGGGAGTTAATCTACAATCTGCTGATGAAGATAGTTGTCTTGTCTTGTTTCAGGTATTAATGTATAATCAGTTGTTCACAGAAGTTCTCCTGTCTTGTTTCAACTATTAATCTGGAACTTGTTTTTTTGTTGGTCGTATAGATAGTTGCCCTGGCTTGTTTCAGGATTTAATCTCTGACCTTAGAGAAAGAAAGATAGTTTCCCTGTCTTGTTTCGAGAGTTAATTTTCAATCTGCTCAAGTAGATAGTTGTCTTGTCATGTTTCAGGTATTAATATACAATCATTTGTTCACAGATAGTTGTACTGTCTTGTTTTAGGTATTAATCTGGAACTTATTATTTTGTTGGTTGTAGAGATAGTTGCCCTGGCTTATTTCAAGAATTAATCTCTAACCTTAGAAAAAGAAAGATAGATTCTCCGTCCTATTTCTGGAGTTAATCTTCAATCTTCTTATGTAGATAGTTATCCTGTCTTGTTTCAGGTATTAATCTACAATTAGTTGCTCACACATAGTTGTCCTATCTCGTTTTAGGTATTAATCTGGAACTTTTTTTTTGGTCGTAGATATAGTTTCCCAGGCTTGTTTCAGGAATTAATCTTTGACCTTAGAGAAAGAAAGATAGTTTCCCCGTCCTGTTTCCGGAGTTAATCTTCAATCTGCTCATGAAGATGGTTGTCCTGTCTTGTTTCAGGTATTAATGTATAATCAGTTGTTCACAGATAGTTGTCCTGTCTTGTTTCAAGTATTAATCTGGAACTTGTCTTTTTTGGTCGTAGAGATAGTTGCCCTAGCTTGTTTCAGGAACTAATCTCTGACCTTAGAGAAAGAAAGATAGTTTCCCTATCCTGTTTCGGGAGTTAATCTTCAATCTGCTCATGTAGATAGTTGTCCTGTCTTGTTTCATGTATTAATCTACAATAAGTTATTCACAGATAGTTGTCCAGTCTTGTTTCAGGTATTAATCTAGAACTTGTTTTTTGCTGGTCGTATAGATAGTTGCCCTGGCTTGTTTCAGGATTTAATCTCTGACCTTTGAGAAAGAAAGATAGTTTCCCTGTCCTGTTTCGGGAGTTAATTTTCAATCTGCTCAAGTAGATAGTTGTCTTGTCTTGTTTCAGGTATTAATCTATAATCATTTGTTCACAGATGGTTGTCCTGTCTTGTTTTAGGTATTAATCTAGAACTTGTTATTTTGTTGGTTGTAGAGATAGTTGCCCTGGCTTGTTTCAAGAATTAATCTCTAACCTTAGAAAAAGAAAGATAGATTCCCCGTCCTATTTCGGGAGTTAATCTTCTATCTTCTTATGTAGATAGTTGTCCTGTCTTGTTTCAGGTATTAATCTACAATTAGTTTTTCACACATAGTTGTCCTATCTTGTTTTAGGTATTAATCTGGAACTTTTTTTTGGTCGTACATATAGTTTCCCTGGCTTGTTTCAGGAATTAATCTTTGACCTTAGAGAAAGAAAGATAGTTTCTCCGTCCTGTTTCCGGAGTTAATCTTCAATCTGCTCATGAAGATGGTTGTCCTGTCTTGTTTCAGGTATAAATGTATAATCAGTTGTTCACAGATAGTTGTCCTGTCTTATTTCAAGTATTAATCTGGAACTTGTTTTTTTGTTGGTCTTAGAGATAGTTGCTCTGGCTTATTTCAGGAACTAATCTCTGACCTTAGAGAAATAAAGATAGTTTCCGTATCCTGTTTTGGGAGTTAATCTTCAATCTGCTCATGTAGATAGTTGGCCTGTCTTGTTTCAGGTATTAATCTACAATAAGTTGTTCACATATAGTTATCCTGTCTTGTTTCAGGTACTAATATGGAACTTGTTTTTTGTTGGTCGTATATATAGTTGCCCTGGCTTATTTCAGGATTTAATCTCTGACCTTTTAGAAAGAAAGATAGTTTCTCTGTCCTGTTTTGGGAGTTAATTTTTAATCTGCTCAAGTAGATAGTTGTCTTGTGTTGTTTCAGGTATTAATATACAATCATTTGTTCACAGATAGTTGTCCTGTCTTGTTTTAGGTATTAATCTGGAACTTGTTATTTTGTTGGTTGTAGAGATAGTTGCCCTGGCTTGTTTCAAGAATTAATCTCTAACCTTAGAAAAAGAAAGATAGATTCCATGTCCTATTTCGGGAGTTAATATTCAATCTTCTTATGTAGATAGTTGTCCTGTCTTGTTTCAGGTATTAATCTACAATTAGTTGTTCACACATAGTTGTCCTATCTTGTTTTAGGTATTAATCTGGAACTTTTTTTTGGTCGTAGATATAGTTTCCCTGGCTTGTTTCAGGAATTAATCTTTGACCTTAGAGAAAGAAAGATAGTTTCCCCATCTTGTATCCGGAGTTAATCTTCGATCTGCTCATGAAGATAGTTGTCCTGTCTTGTTTCAAGTATTAATGTATAATTTGTTGTTCACAGATAGTTGTCCTGTCTTGTTTCAAGTATTAATCTGGAACTTGTTTTTTTGTTGGTCGTAGAGATAGTTTCGCTGGCTTGTTTCAGGAACTAATCTCTGACCTTAGAGAAAGAAAGATAGTTTCCCTATCCTGTTTCGAGAATTAATCTTAAATTTGCTCATGTAGATAGTTATCCTATCTTGTTTCAGGTATTAATCTACAATTAGTTGTTCACAGATAGTTGTTGCACCCCAAAATTTGCCCTCCTAAATTTATTCTATTTTGGCTTAGATTCTTGCATTCATCTGTATATATTCCATTAGGTCATTAACATACATTTGCATTCAATAAAGTGCTTAAGGATCAAAGTTCAATGGTTGTTTGATATTAGGGTTTCATAATGATTGAGGTGTTCGTTTCTAATATAGGATGATTTCTCATTCAGGCAGTGAGCAGTGGAATTGGGATTGTGAGTCGTAGTCATGAGAATTTCTTTCTTCATTAAAGTTCAAGGGCTATTATCCCTTCAATTTTATCAATGTCAGAGATTAGGATTTACTTCCCTATACCAGGTCAAGAGAATCAGGATTTCTCTTCATTTTGTTCAGGCTTGGTAGTGGTTCTTCAATGGAGGTTTATCGGACTAAAGTCTCACTTCAAGGCTACATGGAGCACTACCCTCCCCTTGTTGGAGGTTCGTCATCATCTAAGGACTACTTGTTTTATAAGTCGACTTTGTCCAGGATGCCTAAGGGATTGAATCAAAGTTTTCTCCTTTGACAAGCGATTAAGGATTGCTTTGGGTTTTATCAAGTCCAGATATGTCTTGTTAGTTAAGCTATGGGTCAGGACTTCATTTAGCTCATTTTACCAAATGAAAGGTGGTTGTTTCAAATTCAAGATGACTAGAATTTGTGGATTTATTTTACCATGGAAGTATACTAATTTCATTTTCTTATCGAGCGTTGACGGGCTCAAGGGCTCATATATGTTATGAATTCCATTGGCAAATAATCAAGAAGCATAATTCAAGGTATCAGTTTATGACTCCCTTATGGACAAGCCAAGCATGTAGAGTGGAAAACCGAATAGCGTATAACATTAGAATTCCACTCATATTTTCATTAGTATATTTTAGGGTATATGTTAATTTGTAACATTATTAACCTAAATTGAAAATAAAAGCCCAACTGTTTTAGTTATAACCCTCGAAACTACTACCCCTCTCCTAAACTCTAAAGAACGCCTCTATCTCTCTCTACGGAGTGCGGACCCCCTGGAGCATGATGGTAGTCTTAATGGAGCTGTAAAATGCATTTGTTAGCGAAGGAGACAGAAATTCGATGACCAGCTCTGCCACATTTCCTCAAGGGGATTTCACGGACATAGATGATGATCCACGTGATGATGAAATTCTTAGACCTCTATCTCTTCTATCTACAGCCGGAAATCTCCATCCATTTTCTCTTCTTGATCCTACACTTGGTAGAAATATATTTTATACTCATCTCGGTTCAACAAACCAGAGGCCATTTGTTACACATCCAAGAGAGGTAAGGGAGATTCCAATAGAGGTTAAGGATGGTAGTCAATCCACTCCTCAAGTTGGCCACATTCCAATCGTTAAAGATGTCACTGGAACTGTTCATGCCCAAGGTTCGGGTACACATGGGAGTGTCGTAATAATTAATGATGACGATGACGATGATACTCCACCTGCTCCGACTCATACTTTGCCTGATAGTAGTATAATACCTAGTGCTCCCAACTTTGATAACTTACCAGATAATGGCAATGACATAGAAGAAGAAATGATTTATGCAGCCATTGAGTCATCCAAACAGAAGGCTGAGGAAAATTACAACAATCACGAACTTGGTAGACAAGTTAACTTAAGTGAATCTGGGCCTAACGCAAGGCAAACATTTGTGGAGGATCCTGAGCTTGCCCATGTAGTTTCATTGTCCCTGAAGACAGCAGAACAAGAAAAAGCACGACGTGTACAAGAAGGTGATGTTGGAGCACCTTCAGCAGGACCATCTAAGGCACCAGCGGTTGAATTAGGGGAAGTATCTTCGAATGGGAGATTGCAGGCAGGAAGCTTATCCTATAAAGAGGAAGATAGATACATATGTGGACTATGTGCAGAAGTTTGGTTTGTTTCATCCTGTACCTGAGTTGGCAAGACTATACCGGGTACTCGGAAGCAGATAAAACTTATGGAGTCTTACAATGCTGATTTGCAAAGAAACTCTTGTCAAGAAAGTGACAGGGTTTATGGCAGCGCTAGCACCCATCACAAGAGCGACAATGTTGACAAGAAAGGTAAAGGCAAGTCAATAGGGGTTAAGAGGAATCACTCCACTGAGAGATTATCAAATATTCTTTGAGCTCTGTACATCTACTACAGTCAAATCATAAACCTTCAGAAGAGAAGTTGGAGGTGCTATTAAGAGATGCCCATTGTACTGACAAGGGTAAGTTTAAAACTGAGCTGCACACTAATACAAACGCTAGCAATCAACACAATATTAAGCTTGGTGGGAAAATTAAAACTTCAAAACAGAAATTTATCTAATCAGAATAGAGAGGCGGTACAAGTTGAACTAACTGACGAATGGTATCCTATAAATGCCATTTTTGGATGTTCCATTGACAAAGGCTGCTGCTGGAACTTCCAACCATGCTACATCCAAGGCCAAGCCATCACGAACACAAACAAATGTTGGAAGTAAGAGAGCAAGGCAGTCAGCATCAGCAGATTCAGATGATGGAAATGGCATGAAGCATATTTGCCTATTGCGGGCGGTAAGTACAAACTTGGAAATTCTCAGATAACTAGAGGTACTGATATGTTCTCTCACATGGTGCATTACGTAAAAGGGAGTGCTAGATGTTCTTATCTGGTATATCCCATGAAGGGAGAAACTTGGGCAATTTTTAGACATCGGGATATGGGATGGGGTTCTAAACCTGAAAAGAATGCAGAATAAGTAGCCGTGAGAATAATTCAAATTCGAACGATGATACAAATGCTAGAGCTAGCATATCAAGAATAATGATGTTAGCTGAAGCCTTATTCGAGGTTCTGGATGAAATTCACCAGTAATCAGTGGTTTTATCTTCCCACCTTTCTGTATCTTCTATCGGATATGTTCCCTCGCCTGCTGAAGTTGCCGAATTCCTTACCTGTTAAAATATACACAAAGTCACACAAACATCAAGAAGAACCTGTACAATGCTATATATGTCTTGCGGAGTATGAAGATGGAGACAGTATGCAAGTACTTCCTTGCCATCATGAATTTCATATAACATGTATAGACAAGTGATTGAAGGAGATTCACAGGGTATGTCTACTACGTCGGGGAGATATTTGCATATCAGATTCACTGTCAAACAGAGTAACAAACTCTTTAACTACCTCCAAACAGAATTCCCAACTAGCATAACCACCTTGTAACAAACTCTCAATCTCACCCTTCAATCCCTAACAAACTCTACCCAAATCAATGGTTCGGATTCATTCTCACTTAACCATTTCCATCTCCCTCAAATACCTATATAATCCAAACTCCCTCCAAGTTTCAAGAAACGAAGTCATTCTCTCTTTTCCAGTTTCAAAACATCATCATTGTATCAGCTTCAAAAAAACTTCTTCCCTCTCCATCATTGACTCTCAATTTTTCTGAACTCTCATAATCTTCAATTTCCCCTTTCTAAACTCTGTCTTCACCTCCACTCTCCATTGTTCGACCTTCAGTTAGTTCTCAAAGCTTCACTTCTCTCTGATTCATCATACAAAGTTCGTTTTTCTCAACTTGCGATAATCTTCATAATTGTCATCATTTCCGCTCTTCTCCTATCTCCAACGCACGCAACCCCCAGACCAAAGAAAAATGAAGACAATGATGAGAGGATCAAGACGAAGCAGACAAGATCAAGAAGGACAACAATTGTATTACTTCATCTCTGGATTTCTGAAGCGCTACCAACGTGTCTTCAATAGGTAACCCTCAATCTTCTTCTGTTTATGACTTTTTTTGCTTGGTCTGTACCATAACCGCGAAGGGTAAAATGCGGCGAACGGTAAATCCACCATGTAATCTTGATCGGAAGAAATGTAGAGCTTAAGTTTCGTTGTTAGATTCGGGATAGAGGAAGAGAAATTGACGAAAGCAAGCAAAGGAGTCGAATTCAGAGGGAGACTTTAGGTGGTGTTAACAAGAAAGTTGAATCAGAACAGGGGAGAAGGGATGGAGTCATGGCGGCATCGCCATTGTGGTTTTCGAATGTAGAAGAAAGGCTTTCTGCGTAAAGGAGCTGGAGGGTGCCGTTTACAGAAAAGGCCGTCGTTTTGGAATTTCTTTCTTTTCTCCTTTTATTATTATTCATTTATTTAATGGTTATTTCAAATGGTTAAATAAAATAAAAAAGAGGAGAACTTATTATTATTTTGCCTTTAAGAGTTAATTCCTGATTATTCGATTACTCGAAACTGGTAATTCACTTTGCTCGTCAAGATTCGAGGCTTATGTAGGTTTTTATATGGATACGCTTGAGATGCCGATTGTGATTCATTTTCACATTAAAAGATGCTTCAATAATCATTCCGAATATGGGATTTCTGACTCTTTTCTTTGTTGATGGTAACAGCTCACGAGATCGTCAAGTATCTTTGCTTTTTCAGCTTTGCTCTACGGGATAGTATCCTTTTGGTATACTTTATTTCTATTTTTACCTCGCATTTATCTTGTCCCATAGATCATATGAAGTGTGATAGAATCAGGTTTAGGCTAGTCTCCCTATAACTTTTCTTTCCCTTTTCGCATATGCATTTATAATAACAAAAAATTCCTTTTTTACAAACTGCAAAAATACAAAAAAAGAAATTTACTGACAAGAACCATGTCTTGGCTAAGTTTGAGAGATTATAAGCGGGTTTCTTCTCGACCTTATTATTCTCGTATTCTAAGCTTTGGTATGGTTCAAGTCTCAAAGACTCATTTCATGAATAAGTAGAGAAATGGCTAAAATCTCTCTCTTGAGATTAAATAGCTGTCATCTACGAGCAAAAAAAAAACACACCAACCAATACAAACTATTTTTGCCTTCGGGCCTTCCTTTCTTTCAAAACTCTTTTTCAGAAAGAATATGTTAATTCACTTTTGTACTGATGCGTAAATCTCCAAAGGTCGAGTTGCGGCAGAAGGCGAAATTAATGTTGTTCGTCAAAAACAAACAAATTCAAAATTTTGTGCGCCCAGGCACATTTTCTCCAAACCTTTTCTGAAAGAGCATGTTAATTCACTTTTGTGCTGACGCGTAAGTCTCCAAAGGTCGAGTTGCGGCAGAAGGCTAAATGAATATTGTTCATTAAAAAATACAAATCAACAAAAACATAAGCCGAACTACGGCTGCTCTGATTCCTCAAAAGGGATACGTAGGCATTGGGGTAGGGCCCAAGCGAGCACAACTTTTATTTTCCCTACATTTTCCCCCTTTCTTTTGCATACGTTCTCCTTTTAGCAGTAATAAACAGTAAGCATAGATTGAGCACACCCATAAGATAGACAACAAGAGTGGATACCGTAGAGTACTACGGGCGTGTGGGGTGCTAATACCTTCCCCTTGCGTAACAGACTCCCTTACCCTCATCTCTTGGTCGTTCGACCTTGATTTCACCCTTTTCAGGTTTTCTCGATGTTTACCTTTCCCTACATGTGGGATAAAAGACGTTCGATGGCGACTTCATTGTTTTGATGATTTTCAGCCGGTTGTTTCAGCTGGCGTCTTCACTGGGGATTGGGTCGGCCAAATGCTGGTCCATCCCGGAGTCGCTCCTAGCTCTTGATTTCTTTTCTTAGGGTGTTTATTTTTATGCTTTTAGTTCATTCGTTCATTTTTTAAATATACCGGTGCATATGCATGTATTGCACTCTACTGCCTTCCATATACTGCTGTTGTACTGTATCTGCTTCTTGCTTGAGTGGGAATGTTACTATTGAGGTAAAAGGCCCAGTACCCAGGCCAGAGTGCACTAGGACACCTAAGAATAGAGTGGGGGCATGACGGCTATAGGAAGTGGTCCGATTAGTGTAGTCATGTCATATACCACGCTCGGAGGAGGTTCAAATGAATTACTATCGGCACCCACGTCTGTGGGTAAGCCCATAGCACTTTCAGGCGAACCCGTGATTTTCGAGTTACCATTGTCTTACCCTGACCTAGTCTTCACCCGTGAGCGGGAAGGGATTTATCATTACAGGTACAGTTGGTGACTATATTCAGACGATTACTTTTGGTTATGTCCTGCATTTCTTCCAACAGTTATGAGGTTCTCAGATTTATTTTCTGAGGACTTATCTTTGATCTTCATGGTCCTCTTCCAGTTACATTTCAGACCTATAATCTCGGTATTGACAAGGATACAAAGAGGCAGTACAACAGAAATCAGTATCATGGAAGTAGTAACCCCATGATCACTTGCACACATATCATGGCATATTTACCTTTCAAAATATATATATATATATATATATATATATATATATATATATATATATATATATATATATATATATATATATATATATATATATATATATATATATATATATATATATGTATCAATAATTAATTCGCATACGCATTGTCATTTCCAGGATCTATCCAGGGTTTCCTTTTCCTCCAAAGAATGGTGAACAACACTGATGTTACCCCGAAGACGAAGAGGGATAACTTCAGCTATCAGTTTCGTCCTAGTACTTGGCCCTCTCTTGAAGAGCCCAGAGACCTCATGAATTGTCAACAAATGGGCATTTTTGGTGAAAGATATGGGAATCTCCTATCTTTGCTGGATGCTCGGGTTAACGACAAGGCTGTATAGACGTTGTTACAATTTTATGATCCAGAGTTGAGATGCTTCACATTCCAAGACTACCAGTTAGCACCTACTCTTGAGGAGTATGCTCATCTTCTCCACATTAAGCTCACCGGACATGTTCCATTTGTTTAAATCCCTATTGAACCTGATTTTGAGGCTATTGCTAAGGTTCTTTATTTGAGCCTTAACGACGTAAAAGGAAAATGGAGACGCAACAAAGTCAATTCCGGTCTTCCTACAGATTTCTTGGCAAGTAAGGCTAAGGAAATGGCGAATATGGGAAATTGGGATGCTTATTATGCTCTGTTGGCCGCCGTAATTTACGGAGTTGTCTTATTCCATGAGATTAAAGAAATTGTGGACTTGGCATCTCTTTGCGTCTTCATGAATAAGAATCCTATACCTACGCTATTAGCAGATACTTACCACGCCATCCACTCCAGGCACGGAAAGAAAGGAGTAGTGGTATGTTGTATACCAATAATTTACAAATGGTTCATGGCGCAGTTACCCACCAAAGGGCCATTCTGTAGGTGTTTAGGTATTGGCTTGCATTTTTGGTAAATCCCAAGTGTATGTGTGAATGTCATGACTGATGTCATAACATTATAGTTCAGTTTGTACTGACTCATTAGGTACCTTTGCAGAAAAATATTGTAATTCAAATACTGATGTTTATAAGTGTGTATCTGAGCATTTTGCAAAATGATCACATTTTGCTAAATCAGTAGACAGGTTTTCTCAGATGTCATAACAGATGTTATGACATCCTGTTCTGAACTAACAGGATTGCAGGATTGGATAAGTCTGAGTTTTTTCAGGAAATAACTCAGTCCTTCCTGAACAGAATCCTGCGTTTTCTGAGGGGTAACCTAGCTTAACCCTAACCTGGTTAATAAAGTCCTATGACCTGGTCTTTAGGTCAAACGGAATTAACCCTAGGTTTTTGGAAACCCTAACTGAAGTTGCAGCTGCTATATATTCAACAGAGCTGCTGTTTTTCATGAATGGCTTTTATTGATTAGAAGATCATTTGTAATCTGTATAGATTTGATTATTGTACTCCAAGCAATTATCATTGTGATAAGTGCCTTGGAATAGGTTTCTAATTGTAAGGGTTGTGTAGCACTCTAAGGTTTGAAGCAAGAGTGTTTGAATGTTCCTTGACTAAAGCTGTGAAGCAGAGTCAAGTTAGTTGTGTACATCACTCAAAGCTGTGAAGCAAGAGTGATTGTGTTGCTTGATTAAAAAGCTGTGAAGCTTAATCAAGTGTTTGTTTTTGAAGAGTGTCTTCATCAATTCTTAAGTCAAATTGGTTTATGTATCACTGCTGTGATTGAGGGGGAGTGAGTAGGAACTCAGGTTTAAGTTGTACTTAGATTGGAATTGCATTGGGTAGGTCTTAAGTGAAGGAGATAAACTGGTTGGTTTA